TATTTCTTTGCATTGATCACTGAGGAAGGCTTTCTTATCTCTCCTTGCTATTCTTTGGAACTCTGCATTCAAATAGGTATATCTTTCTTTTTCTCCTTTGCTTTTCACTCTTCTTTTTTTCACAGCTATATTTAAGGCCTCCTTAGACAGCCATTTTGCCTTTTTGCATTTCTTTTCCATGAGGATGGTCTTGCTCCCTGTGTCCTGTCCAATGTCACGAAGCTCCATCCATAGTTCATCAGGCTGTCTGTCTATCAGATCTAGTCCCTTAAATCTATTTCTCACTTCCACTGTATAGTCATAAGGGATTTGATTTAGGTCATACCTGAATGGTCTAGAGGTTTCCCCCACTTTCTTCAATTAAAGTTTGAATTTGGCAATAAGGAGTTCATGATCTGAGCCACAGTCCACGCCCAGTCTTGTTTTTGCTGACTGTATAGAGCTTCTCCATCTTTGGCTGCAAAGGATATAATCAATCTGATTTTGGTGTTGACCATCTGGTGATGTCCATGTGTAGAGTCTTCTCTTGTGTTGTGAAATATTCATGTATATATATATATATATATGTGTGTGTGTGTGTGTGTGTGTGTGTGTAAACTATTTTTTATCCATTCATCTGTGAGTGGACGCTTAGATTGTTTCCATATCTTAGCTGTTGTAAATAGTGCTGCAACAGACGTAGGATTGAAATATCTCTTCTTATTAGTGTTTTCATTTTCTTCAAATAATTACCCAGAATTGCTAGATCATGTGGTAGTTATATTTGAATTTTTTGATGAATCTGCATACCATTTTCGACAGTGGCTACATCAATTTACATTCCTACCAGCAGTGCAAGAGGATTCTCTTTTCTCTGCATCCTCACCAGCACTTGTTATTTCTTGTCTTTTTGATAACAGTCATCCTAAAAAATGTGAGGTGATCTCTCACTGTGGATTTAATTTTCATTTCCCTGATGGTTAATGATGTTGAGAATCTTTTCAAGTACCTATTGATCGTGTATATATCTCTTGGAAAAAATGTCTATTCAGATCTTCTGCCCATTTTTGAATCAGATTGTTTAGGGGTTGTTGAGTTCTTTATATACTCTGAATATTAACTCCTTGTCAGACATATGATTTGCAAATATTTTCTCCCATTGGGTAGGCTGCCTCTTTGCTGTGCAGAAGATTTTTAGTTTGATGTAATCCCACTTGTCTATTTTTGCTTTTGTTGCCTTTCCTTTGGTATCAAATCCAAAAAAACCATTGCCAAGTCCTATGTCAAAGTGCTTATTGCCTATGTTTTCTTCTAGGATATTTATAGTTTTAGGTTTTACATTCAAGCCTTTGGTTGACTTTGAGTTAAATTTTTTATATGGTGTAAGATAGTGGTGCAGTTTAATTCTTTTGCATATTGCTATCCAGTTTTCCCAACACCATTTATTGAAGAGACTATCCTTTTGCCATTGTGTGTTCTTGGCTCCTTTGTCACAAATTACTGACTGTGCGTGTGAGTTTATTTCTGGGCCCTTTGTCCTGTTCCATTTATCTGTGTCTGTGTCTGCCGGTGTTCTACTGTTTTGATCGCTTTAACCTTGTAGCTTAGTTTGAAATCAGGCATCCTTGCCTTCTTAAGTGGGATCTTCTTAAGCAAGGTACTCAAGTCAGAGAGATGAATGTGGATATGTGTAGAAATAATAGTGTTGTACAGTTCGGATGGTTTTGGAGGCAGGGAAGTGAATAACCAATGAAAAGAGGTTTTATTAACTCAGAAAATTGTCTTATCTCACCAAACAAAGATGCAGGGATTTTTAGGATTGGTTAATCAGAGGCCCAGCATGATATTCAGAGTCCCCAGGATTTCCCCTTGTCCTCGCTGACTTCCTCGGCATTGAGTTTGTCCTCAGGCTGCTCTTTTCCCAGTTGAAAGTTTGCTACTGCACTGCAGTTATCATGTCCACTCACAGCCATGTTCAAAAGTGGGCCAGGCCAGGGGATCTCTCCTGTTCCTTCCCCTCTCGTCCCTCCCTCCCTTCCCCTTTCTCCCTTTTTTCTCCTTTCATTTCTTTTCTTTCCTTTCTTCCTCCCTCCTTCCCTCTTTCTCTCCCCCTTTCTTTCAAAAGCAGACTCTCCCCATCCCACAGTTTTGGAGACCAGAAATTTGAAATCAAGGCCCTTTTCCCTTTTTTGTTAGGAAAAAAATAACTTTCCCAAAAGCACCACAGGGCTTCTTCTTAATGTGATAGTCCAGATCACCATGTCACATGCCCCACCTAATCCATCAAGGGTTAGAGGATATAAAATTACCATGATAGATTTAAGTTGACCAACCTTCATGTCTCTAGGATTTGGAGGGGTGCAGTCATACTATTCAGTAATGGAGATAGCTCTTCAAACTATAATGTATTATGTCAAATAAAAATACAAACTGATATAAGATTTTTCTGTAAAAGTCAGTTTCTCCTTTTTTTTCTTGTTAAAGTGTGATAAATCTCTTATGTTGAAAAAGCCAAAATGCCGTTGCTCTCAAAGCATCAACATTTGAGAACAATGTCGTCTTTTGAAACGTGGGAGAGCTGAAAGACCCGTGTGGTTTCCTGCTGAAGTCCGCTCCTTTTTCTTTTAACAGATGAGGAAAAAGAAAATAACAGAGCGTCCAAGCCCCACTCCACTCCTGCCACCCTGCACTGGTAAGTTCCTTTCTGAGCGAGTCTTCTCTTGATGCGAAGCTCATGCAGCTGGTCTTCTTGCAACAGTACAGCACATCAGTTGGCATGTCATAGTAACCGGACACCCAATAGCCCATATGCAATCAATTTAATTTTCAGGTGTGTAAAAAATACTCAATTTAGATATAGCCTGGAGATTTAAATTTTCATATTTATTTTATTTGGGAGTAGACTTATTTTCCAAATATCAAAACACTGACAAGGACTGGATTCCACATGGATGTTATTGACTCGAATAGAATCTATTATTTTAATAAATAATGTTGCAGCCAATTATAGAGGCATAGGCCTGTTCTCCCTTACCAATGACCCCTCAATATACTAATAATTCATTGCAACTATACTGCAGTTGGAGCTTCCCTGGTGACTCAGAGAGTAAAGAATCCACTTGCAATGCAGGAGATCTGGGTTCTGTCCCTGGGTCAGGAAGATCCCATAGAGAAGGGAATGGCTACCGGCTCCGGTGTTCTTGCCTTGGAAATCCCATGGACAGAGGAGCTTGGTGGACTACAGTCTATAGGGTCATGAAAGACTTGGACGTGACTGAGCGACTAACACTTCATACTATAATTATTTTTTGACATTAATAATGTGAATACAAATTATCTGCCTGAGTGGCTCTCCCTTTACTATCTGGAATTCCTGGACTTGATGTAACAGTTAATGATGTGGTTTAAGTGTTTGTACTCATGTTTGATACGTACAGGTAAATGCTCCTCTAAGAGCTGGACTTACAAATTATGTTGTAGCTTTGAACACCAAGGCTACAGGAACACCTGACACTCACCTCTCAGAGGATTTTGTCAGTTAAGGGCTATTACTGCTTCTAGCAGTGCAGCCCACAAAGGCGAAGGCAGTGAGGAATTAAGGGTCTAGCAGTGCAGCCCACAAAGGCGAAGGCAGTGAGGAATTAAGGGTCTAGCAGTGCAGCCCACAAAGGCGAAGGCAGTGAGGAATTAAGGGGAAGGAGAGAGAAAGGGATGAATCTACTGTGTGCCAGGCTGCATGTTAGGCACTTTGTACAAGTGTCTCATTTCATTCTTACAGTTCTGTCAAGTTGCTATTGTTATGCCCATTTTACAGATGAGGAAAATAAAGCTTAGGCAGTTAGATCATTTACCCAAATATACACACAGCCATGAAGTGGCAGAGGCAGGAAACTGGCTGGATCCCTTTAACTGTAAAGCCTTTGCTTCAGAAAAAAAGGAAGAGAAAAATCAGGAAAGATGGAAAGACCAGATCAGAAAAGGAAGCAGATGGGCTTTAATGAGCAAATCATATTAGATTCTTTTGACTAATGCACCCACAGGTGAGAGGAAAACAATGTTGGGAGAAAGCATTCAGGAATGCAACTCAATTTTCTCCAACAAGAGTCTCAGTAGCCAGCTTGTTTTGCAGCAAGGATAGCAAAAGTTGTTTTTAAGAGCTCCATTTCCAGGCTTTTGGGCTGCTTCTTTCAATTTGCCCCTACATTCCTTTTCTCGCTGCATTTGCTGCTTTTTTGCTTTATTTAAAATTCTACTCTACTTCCCTCTTCAAATCTCTTCCCATACCCTTCCACCCAAATTATGGCCACACAGATTCCCACAATGCCAGCACATTGAGTGAAGGATCAGCGTAAAAGACTTTGGGAGTGAGAGTTTCTAGAAATGCTAGAAATCAGCAGACACTCTTGGTTTAATCATCTGAACACATTGTACATTTCAGAGTGAAAAATTTGAAAGGCAGCAGAAGAAAATCGCTTTGTTCACATCTGTTTTTCTATGATCTTCTGACATTTGCCTGGCAACAGAGAGGCTTTCGATAGTGTAATCTCTTACATCAGACTGTGTGCATGCGTGTTAAGTTGCTTCAGTCATGTCCAACTCTTTGCAGGTCTATGGTCTGCAGCCCGCCAGGCTCCTCTGTCCATGGGCTTCTCCAGGCATGAATACTGTGGTGGGTTGCCATGCCCTTCTCCAGGGGATCTTCCCAACCCAGGGATCAAACCCTCATCTTTTACATCTCCTTCATTGGCAGGGGGTTCTTTACCACTAGTACCACCTGGGGAAGACTGCCAGGAATGAACTCCCGGCTGTGCTTTTCCGTGTGACCTTGGGCAAGGTCGCTCACCTCTCTGTGCTCTCCATCTACTCACCAGTAAAATGGGGGTGGCAGTGGTATTTTCCTCATAATGTAGTTACAAAGAGAAAATGAGAGCGTATGAACAGTGTCTGGAGAAGAGTGAGTGCTGGATAAACCTTAGCAACCGTGGATCACTCAGCAGGCATCTTCCTTCTGAGTCCCACAAGGACATCCTGGAACAGGGCTTCTCTCCTTCCTGATATACTCACAGTCAGTTCTCCCACTGCACCTAAGTCTATACAAAATATTTATGTTTCTAAATAAAAGGTCCCATATGTCATTCCAGAAGAAATTTCATCTTCCAATTCACAAAGCCAGGCATTGGATTTGTTTTTATGAAAAAAAAAAAAAAACAAAACAAAACCTGTCTTCAGAGCCAAATCAGGCTTGAAAATTTGTAAAATTTAGTCTTATTATTATCAAGAGCCATCAGGTTGTTCATACCTCAAATTTTCATATTTTTAAGATAGAATTTCAGTCCTTCACTAAATTAAGAAATATTAGCACCTACTGTTTTCTGGCCCCTATTCGAGGCTCTGAGAATGCAGTGGTGGATAGGACAGATCAAGACTAGGGGCTGATGAAAGAAAAATTTAGGTGACAATTCAAAAAATTATTAATTATAAATAAATAAACAATGAATATATTAGATAGAGATAAGCACAGAGTGAAGAATTAGAATTGGCTGAGGTGATAGTATCTCAGAGGCTATTTTAGGTTGAATAGTGATGGAAAGCTTCCTTGAAGCGGTGACATCTAAGGGTACATTTATGTGACAAGAAGTCCTTACTACGCCACGATAGTGTTAAAATCAGGGAAACGTTCTCAGTAGAGGGGACAGTGTGGGCCAAGCTCTCCCAGAGGCAGACCCTGGGCAGGGCTATGCGTGCGGGTGGTTTATTAGGGTGCCCAGTATTGACAGCGCAAGGGTGTAAGGAGGGTTATTGGGCTTCAAGGGGGGCTATGGCAGTGGCTTTGGTGATCCCACAGGGAGTTCTGAGCTGGGGTGGCCCGTCAGATATAAGCCCTTCAGAGACTAACTGAGGCATCCCTGAGGCAATGGATCCGGGACTATTCCTGCACCTCACTCAGCACAGCAGGTAGGCAGCCCCCAGGAACAGGGCATAAATTTGGGTGAGGCAGTTCCCTTCCAGTCCTGCTGAGGATGACTCCCCAGGAAAGCTTCAGCCTCAGCAGTCAATCTCTCAGCAGTGGGGAAGGACGCCTCAGTCCTGAAAGGTAACCCAGGCATGCACCGATGCACCATGGCCTGTTCACTCTCTCCAGGGTGGAGTAGGCGGAGCTTGTTCAGGGAGCTGCAGAAGATGGTCTGTGTGATGGGAGCTTAGCCAGTAAGGAAGACAGTGACACTGATGAGATGGGATAAGGAGGCAGGGAGACTATAAACAGCAGGGAAGAAGAAGCAGGACATTTCTCTAAACTTAGGGACAGCTGTTGTTCAGTTGCTAAGTTGTGTCCAACTCTGCGATCCCATGGACTGCAGCACGCCAGGCTTCCCTGTCCTTCACCATCTCCCAGAGCTTGCTCAAACTCATGTCCATCGAGTCGGTGATGCCATCCAACCATCTTATCCTCTGTTGTCCCCTTCTCCTCCTGCCTTCAATCTTTCCCAGCATCAGGGTCTTTTCCAACAAGTTGGCTCTTCACATCAGGTGGCCAAACTACTGGAGTTTCAACTTCAGCATCAGTCATGCCAATGAATATTCAGGATGGATTCCTTTAGGATTGACTGCTTTGATCTCCTTGCTATTCAAGGGACTCTCAAGAGTCTTCTCCAATAACACAGTTCAAAAGCATCAATTCTTTAGCACTCAGCCTTCTTTATGGTCCAACTCTCACATCCGTACATGACTACTGGAAAAACAATAGCTTTGATTATATAGACATTTATTTGTCAGCAAAGTGATGTCTCTGCTTTTTAATATGCTGTCTAGGTTGGTCATAGGTTTTCTTCCGAGGAGCAAGTGTTTTTTAATTTCATGGCTGCAGCCACCATCCACAGTGATTTTGGAGCCCAGAAAAATAAAGTCTGTCACTGTTTGCATTGATTCCCCACCTATTTGCCATGAAGTGATGGGACAGTCAAGCTCATAACAATGGTGGAGGATATGTGACCTCTTACATCAAGTTCCACATGAGTAAATTGTTTTAGACTAGAGTTTCAGTATAAAACTTCATCTCTCAGAAGGAACTGAAGACACCCTCCATTTTACAAGGAAAAATGGCATAGTTTATACTAGGTCCCCTTTCTGCTCTGGCTGCCAAGAAGTCCAGAGCTAAATCTGATGCTAAATTTTCAACCTCTTTCCTTTGTATAATTTTCTTCTCCTTTTTCTTATTTTGTTAGGTTTTTAGAAGAGGGCAGGATGCAAATAAATTCAACAGATACTCGTTTACATTTCAATTTTATTTTCTTTACACAAAATGCATTTCCTTATTGAAAAGCAAAAACATTACAGATAAGGTTAAAGTCCTTTCTTCATGTAGTTCCTTCCCTTGTCCTCCAAAGCAACACTGTTACCAGTGAGAAATATGCGTGTGTGTGGATGTTTGTGCATACATGCATACACGTGTGTGTATATGTGTGTGTGTGTGTTTACTGTCCCTTACCTATGCATTTACATGCATATGTACTGATAGGATGGACTTTCCTGGCAGGTCAGATGGTAAAGAATCTGCCTCCAATGCAGGAAACCCAGGTTCAGTCCCTGGGGTCAGGAAGATCCCCTGGAGGAGAGTATGGCAACCCACTCCAGTATTTTTCCTGGGAAATCCCATGGACAGAGGAGCCTGGTGGGCTACAGTCCATGCAGTCA